ACGCCAAGCGTCAGTAGCTGTCGAGCCCCCTACTAACCCTGCCTCATCGCCCGAAAAATACCATCCCCACCGGGTAGTGGCTCCGATACACGCTATTAACCGCTCCCGGCTGAATAAGGGGGATGACCCAGTGGACCACCCTGTACTGGCGGAGGGGCGACTCAATGGAAGAAAAATAAAAGTATTCATCGACGGAGGTGCGAGTCACAGCCCGATAAATCGAGAGACAGCACGAAGACTACACTTATCGTTGGAGCGGTGTCTGCCCAAAATCGACGCGCGACTGGTGGATGGCACCTCGCTGGTGATACGCGACAAAGTACCCCTCGTTCGAATGAGGTGTGGCGAAGATTTCCGCTTCAGCGTGCCGATGCTAGCGACAAAACTCAATGGCTACGACGTGCTGTTGGGACGCGATTGGCTGCGATGATTCAATCCGCAGATCGATTGGACGACAGGCGAGTGCATAGTGAAGTGCGAAAAAGGCTGGCAAAAACTACCCACGTGGCCGAAAGCAGAGACAACCTCGACACGAGTAACCTCTGTGTCCCTCAAGCCAGCGGTCAAGAATGGAGCGGATTTATACGCCGTCCATCTAACTGAATCAACAGAGCGGAACGAGGCGACCGACATCAACAAACTCTATGCTTCGGTCCTAGATGACTTGGCAAAAATCTTCGGGACTATCCTGAGATTTTCCCAGACGATTTGCCACGTGGACTGCTACTCGAACGACCCCAGGACCACAAAATCGAGCTGGAGCCCGGCGCGCAGCCTACTGTACGAACCCAATGGCACCTGAATCAGCCGGAGCTACACGAATTATGGAACCAATTGGACTACCTGCTGGCAGAAGGGTTTTTTCGGCCGAGCACGTCCCCGTTCGCAGCACCGATCCTGTTCACCCCAAAGAAGGACGGCGGACTTCGCATGTGTACGGACTATCGTGCCCTCAATCGGGTAACGATAAAATCGCGCTACCCAATCCCACGCACGGAAGAGTTGATTGACAACCTTCACGGAGCTCGCTACTTTTTGAAAATCAACCTTCGTGGTGGTTACCATCAAATTCAAGTGTTCGCTGATGACTGTCATAAGACCGCGTTTCGTACTCGCTACGGGAGTTACGAATACACGGTGATGCCGTTTGGATTAACGAACGCCCCCTCGACATTCCAACTCACCATGAACGGGGTGTTCTGCGATCTACTCGACAAATGTGTGATAATTTACCTGGACGACATCCTGATTTACAGCAAGACCTGGGAGCAACATTTAAAGGACTTGGAAGCGGTTTTTCAGCGGCAGCAGCAGCATCGTCTCATCACCAAGGGCTCCAAGAGCGAGTTTTTAAAACAAGAAATGGAGTTCCTAGGGCACGTAATATCCACGGAGGGGATTCAAATAGACCCGAGAAAACTCTGGGCTATTCAGGAGTGGAAACCGCCAACAAATCTGCAGCAGCTGCAATCATTTCTGGGCTTTGTGAATTACGTGCGCCGGTTTATACCCAACATGGTGGGGTTACCTGGACCTCTAACCGACCTACTACAGAAGGGGATATATTACGACTGGGGGGGGAACCAGCAAGCTGCGTTCGAGGCATTAAAACATCTTTTAATGTCGCCACCGGTACTTCGCATCGTTGACCCGGAACGGCCCTTCGAAGTCATCACCGACGCAAGTGACATCACCATCGGAGCAGTGCTCATGCAATATTTCGGCAATGGTCTTCAACCAATCGCGTACGAGTCTCGGAAAATGCAATCTGCTGTGCGCAACTATCCGGTACACGACAAGGAGATGCTGGCGATTGTCCACGCGTTCAAAATCTGGAGGTGCTACCTCATTGGAGCAGACGTGATGGTGCGAACCAATCACAAATCTCTACATTACATGAGAGCGCAGTCGAATCTCAACCCGCGGCAGATACGATGGCTGGACTATATGGAGTCCAACTTCACGTACAAGATCACGTACAAAAAGGGCACCAATAATATTGCTGAAGCCCTCTCCAGACCGTCTGCCCAACTCGCAGCAGTACTAGTCACCCAGAGCAACCCGCTACTGAGTGGACTATTTGTCCACGGGTATTTGACTGACCCCTTCTTCGTAAATGAACCATCTCCCAATCACTACACGGAAAGGTGTCTATTACTTACGAAGCGGAAAGGATCGAATTTGGGTCCCAAGTTATCGTCTACTTCGCGAATTACTAATTCAAGAAGTCCACAATTCAAATTTATCGGGACATTTCGGGGCCAGATATGGTGACGGACGTGGATCGTTACGTGGCCGCGTGTCCGATCTGCCAGCGAATGAAATCATCACATCAGCGACCGACAGGATTCTTGCAGCCCCTCGAGCCACCTCAACGCCCATGGCAACACGTGACGATGGATTTCGTTACAGCTCTACCGGCCGGATCCAGTGGAAACGACGCAGTATTGGTTGTCGTCGATCGATTGACGAAAATGGCGCATTTCGCACCATGTCGTACAACCATCACAGCCGAAGAAACTGCGCGACTATTCATCTCGGCCGTTGTTCATCTACACGGGATACCAGCGGCAATCATTAGCGATCGAGACCCGAAGTTCACTTCGAAATTTTGGCAGGACACGTGGGCTCGGTACGGTTTGCGCCTGCAGTTCTCATCCACTTATCATCCCCAAACGGACGGCCAGACGGAAAGGACAAACCAAACGATGGAGCAGCTGATTCGGACAAACTGCCCCGACCGAAACAAATGGGAGGACGCGCTTCCGATGTTGGAATTCTCCTACAACAACGCGCCCTCAGTCACGACTAATCACTCCACGTTTTACCTCAATTATGGGATGGACCCCACAGTACCTATGTCCACCAATGTCGAGAGTCAAGTACCACGGTCGCAGCAATTCGTCGAAGAATTACAAACTGCCCGGGATAAAGCTGTCGAACTTATTCGCAAGGCGAACGCTACTGCCCGACGGTATGCGGATTTCCATCGACGGGATATTACGATGGCAGCAGGGCAACTAGTCCTTTTGGACACCAAGAATTTACGACTGCCAGTACCGACGAAATTACGACCACGTTTCTGTGGCCCATTCAAGATCATGAAGATGGTGACGCCGGTGACCGCCCAGTTACGCCTACCTGATGATTGGCGTTTTCACAACAAGTTCCACGTGAGACCGTTGCGACCCTTTGTACCTGACACATCGGACATCGCTCGAAGCCTCGGGACAGTTCCGGACCTTTCAGACGGAATCGCCTCGGCTTCTCCATACCTTCTAGTTCGACCTTTGGAGTTCTCCGGGCCTCTCTTCGTCACTTCCAGACCCTTCAATCCCTTTCCCGAACCTTCCCATCTCATGGTTAGACTAGCTCTGGTGTTCCTATATCTTGGCTTGCCATTCCTTGTATCGTCATTCAGTGATTGAACACTTCGTTATTCATTTCCGCGCTACTCTGCTTGTTCATTCATAACAACCTATAGGTGTGTAGCATGAAGCAGGCTTGTATCGAAGTTACGGGAGGGCGCGGGTGTCAGAGAGTCGAGGCGCCTGCCAATCAAGTGGTGATTGTTGCAGTGTCGGCATAAGGGAGGATGATGAACCACAGCAGGGCGGAACTGCCCCAAAATGGAACTGGGGGGTCATCCATCCAATCCAACCAAGCTCGGAGATGGTAGATGTCTGGCACCCTGGGAACATATGGATCCCAGCCAGGAACAAATGTATCGTTGTACGTCAGATACAAACAGTCATAGTGAACTCTCGTGTTCCACGTTCGCATCTGGTCACTTGTCTTCTTGCGTTCACGTCAGCAGTATAATCGTTTGCCTTCGGTAGACGCTATGGCTGAAGAGGTTGGGCCAACTGTCGAGGTTCAGTATGTACCAACTGAGGAGCTTCAGCCTGTAGAAGATTTAGACGGTGTCCTCTCCGTAAGTTAGCAAGGACTCTATCAGCATTGAGTGTTGGTTTGAATGTCGAATATGTATTTATTGGTAATACGTTTCACGCTTGCAGGGTCTTGCGACAAAGCTTGACTCCAAAGACTGGTTCGTCGTCTGCGAAGGGCTCATTGAACTCCGGAGGATTTCGAAGTTTAACAGCGAGCACCTTACTGGCAGGCTGTAAGCAATTCGAAGAATCTCTTCCATTTCTTTCGTTTCTCTCGTTTTTCCCGATCTTTTCTGGAGCTCGTCATGAAAATTTATCTCATTTGACGTGTCGACGTCTGCAGTGAGAGCTATTTTGATCCAATGGTGAAGTCCCTGAAGAACCCTAGGAGCGTCCTTAGGAAGACTTTGTGGATGACCTTTGAGGACCTGTTTAGATTCAACACGACGTGCATGGAAGGCTCGCTTGAATCCTTGGTACGTTATTCTCGAGGTAATCATCTTAGTCTTGATCCCTATTACGGTCTGTTAACTGAACGATATGTGTTTCACAGATGCAACCGCTGCTTATCCAAGCCTCACAAGATAATAAGTTTATGGTTGAAGCGGTCGACCGTGCGCTTTCCACGATGACTTCAACTCTCAATCCGGAAGTCACCTTTAAAGCACTCCAGCCATCCATCGCTCACAAGAGTCCGAGAGTCCGGTCCAAGGCCATGATTTACGCCTACCAAGCTGCAGTTCGACTGGTGAGACAGTGACTGTGCTCCCTGTCTGATTTCCGTTCCGTTCATATCTATCAAAGTCAACTTACATCCCGCTCTCCATGTTGTGTTACAGAACACTGACCAGGTCAAGGCCATTGGCCTAGATGTGCTTCTAAAGATTGCTGCAGCTCAGATGAAGGACCAAATCCCAGAGGGACGGGAAGCAGCTCGGAAGCTTGCAGTTTACCTGCATTCGTTATATGTTGCTATGGAAGATGCAGCTGCGGAGAGCCAGGAGGGTTCCTCCGAACCATGGGAAGGATATTGCAGCAAAAGGCTTTCATCAACCGATGCTGCAGCTGTGCTCAAGGTTTCAGGTTAGACGACTTACAGTTATTATCATTGCTTCATGTCTTGGTGAAGCAATCCTGAGGAGGATTTGTGAAATCTTAGTGTGAACGAAATGGCATGTCACAGAGGTATTCTATGCATACCTCCCTTCAAACCATTACCTAATCCAGTTTTCCATCTTGCAGAGTCACATGAACTATTGAAGCTACACAGGCCCACCAACGGGATAACAATCGACCGCTTGTAAATTTCAACAACAGGATCTTACGGAGTGGAAGTAAAGCTAAAACGTTGATATCACTAAGCCAATTGCAGCTGCAACCTAAATTGTTGTAGGGGTGTTTTTGTCAAATATATGTATAACTCATTTGTATAGACTGCATAGGGTCACCTCTTAGAGGGTACAACACTCTTAGGCATATACCCTTGCTCTCTCTCTCTATTCAACACTTGTTCAGTTTTCTTCTCGACGTGGTATCACCCGTAGGTTCGACCTATCAAACAGTGAAATTGATGAATAGAGAGAGAGAGTACACAAACATATACCTAACTGTTGTACTCTCTAGAAGATGACCCTATACAGTCTATACAAGCATGATAACTAAACATGTTTGACACACCCCCTGGACTGCATAGGGGAATGTTCTAGACAAGCAGCTCAGGGTGGCACTACTAGTCCAGCCTCTGAGACAAGGGTCTAAAAGACCAGTCAGAAGGAGTACAGGCAAGGCAAGAACTAGTACAGGGCGGCACTACTAGTCCAACCACTGTAAGAGGACACAAGTCCAGTCTGAGTGTACACACAGATATATAGGACAGTACAGAGTCAAGGCCCGAGTAAGTGAGAGACTACAGGAACCAGACCAAGCTGCACACAGTGCCGCTGATGATCTTTAGGCGCAAGCGCCTTCGTAAAGATATCAGCTGTGTTGGCACCGGAGGCTAAGTGTACTACGCGAGCCTGGCGACGCTGCTGTAGCTCACGCAGGAGGAAGTACCGCAGCTGGATGTGCTTCGCTCTGCCCTCAAGTCGAGGCTCCTGACACAGGAGGATCATGGCCCTGTTGTCAGCGTACAGGACCGGGGCAGAGCTAGGCCGCTCACCTAAGTCAGTGAGCAAGAAGGTCAGCCAGCGGAGCTCCTGTGCCGCCATGGCACCGGCGTAGATCTCGGCCTCACAGCTGGACTGGGCAACAGACGAAGAGCGGGTAGCTCTCCACGAGACAGCACCTGAACCAAGGCTAAAGCAGTAGCCCTGGGAAGACCTGAGCGTCTCGGCGTCGTCTGCCCAAGAAGCGTCTGTGTGTCCAGTAAGGACCACTGGCCTGCGTCCGCCTAGCACTAACCCCATGCCTGATGTACTTGCAAGATAACGCAAAACCCTCTTAGCGGCAGACCAGTGCTGAGGTCGGTGCCTGCCTGTGGCCACGAAACGAGCCAGGATGCTGAGAGGGTATGCGAGATCTGGGCGAGTGCAAGTCATCAGGTACATGAGGCAACCCACTAGCTCAGCGTAAGGACCACTGGGATCTACCGACTCTTCAGGAACTGGAGCGGAGAGTCTGTGGTCCAGAGGAAGAGGGGTGGGCTGTGCGGAGGAGAACTGAAGGCCGAACCTCTGAAGGACCTGGCGCACCAAGTGTGACTGAGTCAGGGTGATGGTGCGCGCGGCTCTGTCCCTGGAGATCTGCAAGCCAAGGTAACGGCGCAGCTCTCCAAGGTCAGTGCAGGTGTGTCTCTTCAGCAGCTCTGCCTTCACGGAGGCCAGTGCGTCCCTGTCAGCAGTGGCAAAGACCAGGTCGTCTACGTAGACGAGGATGTAGAACGGAGTCGAGCCAGCACGAACGAAGAGCGAGGGGTCTGCAGAGGACGGAAAGAACTGCAGGTCAGCAAGGGTAGCACGCAAAGTGTCGTGCCACTCACGAGGCGCCTGGCGCAGGCCGTAGACTGGGCGCCGCAGAAGCCACTGGGTCCCAGGGGGGAAGGTGCCAGTAAAGCCCTGAGGGCGACGCAGGTAGACCTGCTCGTGAAGGCTGCCCTGAAGAAAGGCAGTGGAGAAGTCGAGGGAGTGAAGCTCGTAGTCACGCTGAGCCGCTACGTGTAGCAGCACCCGAAGAGTAGTCATCTTCGGGGTAGGAGCGAAAGTCTGAAAGAAGTCCACCCCCTCGCGCTGACTGAAGCCTCTAGCCACGTAGCGCGCCTTGAACACAGGCGGCTCTCCAGGAGGGCGCTTCACCTTGAAGAGCCAACGGCCATCGACCACGTTCACCCCAGGTGGGGGAACTGCGTCGACGAAGGTGCCGGTGGATCTCCAAGATGCCATCTCCTGCTCCATGGCAGCTATCCACTGAGAGGCCCAGGGTCCCGAAACCGCCTCAGCGTAAGTACGAGGGGTCGGGATGTCGAAAGCGTCTGGGTCACCCTCAGGGACTAGCAGCATGGAACAGAGATGGGGAGCAGCCTCGGAGAGGAAAGCAAGCTCAAACTGGCGGTCCTCCAGGACGTCACTGCCGAGGGCAGGAGCACCCCCGACAGACGGAGGACAGGCAGGGTGAGAGACCAGAGCGGTGGCGTAGTCAAGGCGGCGGGTAGAGGCGAAGTCAGCGACCGCAGCGACGAGGGCGTCAAGACTCGACACGGGAACAGACGGGTCGGTAACGAGAGAGGCAAGGACCCGAGGAACAAGAGGACGAGCGGCACGAAAGGAGTCGGACAGAGGAGGAGACGCAACGACAAGAGAAGACGGAGGAGGAGACGGGAGGAGGGGAGGTCGAGACGCGTGGGAACGGAGCAACATAGGGTGAGAGCGCGGGACAGGGGAGACAGGACGAGCACGAGAGGGGCGGCGAGACCAGACGTGTGAGGGCGGCGTCGGGTCAGGAGACAGAGGAGGGGACACAGGAGGGGAACGAGGGGGAAGACGAGCCGGGGACGAGTCTGGCAGAGGGAACACGGGGCCGTAGACGGGAAGAGGGGGAGACGGCAGGAGAGGAACAGGCGCAGGGGCAGGAGACGGAAGGCCGAGCAGACGGAGGGCGGACATGGGTAGGGGCGCGACGGGGCCTGGAGGGGCGTTACCAAGCCCAGGTAGGGGCGCGACGGGGCCTGGGGGGAGCGCAATGGGGCCCAGGAGGGGCGCTACGGGGCCTGGGAGGAGCGCGACTGGGCTAGGGAGGGGCGCGACGGGGCCTGGAAGGAGCGCAATGGGGCCCAGGAGGGGCGCTACGGGGCCTGGGAGGAGCGCGACGGGGCCCTGGAGGGGCGCTACCAGGCCCTGGAAGGGGCGCGACGGGGCCTGGAGGGGCGCTACGAAGCCCTGAAAGGGGCGCGACGGGGCCTGGAGGGGCGCTACGAAGCCCTGAAAGGGGCGCGACGGGGCCTGGAGGGGCGCTACGAAGCCCTGGAAGGGGCGCGACGGGGCCTGGGAGGAGCGCAATGGGGCCCAGGAGGGGCGCTACGAGGCCTGGGAGGAGCGCGACGGGGCCCAGAAAGGGGCGCAACGGGGCCCAGGAAGGGGCGCGACGGGGCTAGGGAGGGTCGCGACGGGGCTAGGGAGGGTCGCGACGGGGCTAGGAGCACGACGGGGCCCAGCTAGGGGGCGAGCGGAAGCGTGAGGGGGGGGGGGGGGGGGGGGGGGGATCCTACCTACGCGTGATACCATATCAAACAGTGAAATTGATGAATAGAGAGAGAGAGTACACAAACATATACCTAACTGTTGTACTCTCTAGAAGATGACCCTATACAGTCTATACAAGCATGATAACTAAACATGTTTGACACGACCCCCCCCCCCCCACCTACCGCTTCCGCCCGTGCCTCCTAGGCCCCGTCGCGCTTTCACCTAGGCCCCATCGCGCCGCCCCCACCTAGGCCCCGTCGCGCCCCTCCTGGGCCCTTATCACGCCTCCTAGCCCGTCACGCCTCTCCTGGGCCCCTGCCGCGCCTCCTAGGCCCTGTCGCGCCCCTCCTGGGCCCCCGTCGCGCCTCCTAACCTGTCGCGCCCCTCCTGGGCCCCTGTCGTGCCCCCTAGCCCGTCGCGCCCCTCCTGGGCCCCTGCCGCGCCTCCTAGCCCGTCGTGCCCCTCCTGGGCCCCTCGTGCCTCCTAGGCCCCGTCGCACCTCTCCTGGGCCCCGTGTGCCTACTAGCCCGTCGCGCCCCTCCTGGGCCCCTGTAGCGCTTCCTAGCCCGTCGCGCCGCTCCTGGGCCCCTCGTGCCACCTAGCACCCGCCGCGCCTGCCTGGCCCCACCGCGCTACCTGGCCCCGTCGCGCCTGCCTGACCCTGTCGCACCTCCTGGCCCCGCCGCCCCTGCCTGGCCCATCCGCGCCTGCCTGGCCTCGTCGCGCCTGCCTGGCCCCGCCGCGCCTGCCTGGCCCCGCCGCCCCTGCCTGGCCCCGCCGCGCCTGCCTGGCCCCGTCGCGCCTACCTGGCCCCGCCGCGCCTGCCTGGCCCCGCCGCGCCTGCCTGGCCCTGCCGTGCCTCCTGGCCCCGCCGCGCCTACCTCGCCCTGCCGCGCCTCCTGGCCCCGCCGCGCCTGCCTGGCCCCGCCGCGCCTGCCTGGCCCCGCCGCGCTGCCTGGCCCCGCCGCGCCTGCCTGGCCCTGCCGCGCCTCCTGGCCCCGCCGCCCCTGCCTGGCCCGTCGCGCCTGCCTGGCCTTGCCGCGCCTCCTGGCCCCGCCGCCCCTGCCTGGCCCCGCCGCGCCTGCCTGGCCCCGCCACGCCTGCCTGGCCCCGCCGCGCCTGCCTGGCCCCGCCAGCACCTGCCTGGCCCCACCGCACCTGCCTGGCCCCTTCGCCCCGGCTCGTCCTGCTGTGCCGCCTCGGGCTCCGTCTCCTCTGCTCGCCTGTGCAGAGGCGCTTCGCGGCCGCCGTACTGGAGGGGGCTGTCGCTGTGTTCCTGCGTCACTGTGTTCCTGTGGAGCTGTGCCGCTGACCCTGCACGATGGCGGACTTCGTGCTCCGACTGGACGCCGAGGGCCATGCGGTTGACTTCGCCGCCTGGCTCTCCGATCTCCGCCGCCACCTTACAGGTCAGCGCCAGGATGGCTACTCTTTGGTTGTCCATGTCGACGGCTTGCTCCCCCGCCCCCCCGCACCTGCTCCCCTCCCTGCTGATCCCTCCTCTGATGACCGTGAGACCTTTTCTACTGCTGCGCATGCCCGTGCGGTCTGGGACTCCCGCGATGCAGTCGCTCAGGTTGCCATTAGCCACGCCCTCCCTGTCTCTGAGCGCTCGCGTTTTGCTACTATTGAGACGGCCAAAGCTTACTTAGACGCTGTTATTGCCCGCTATTCCACACCCGCGTCTGCTTCTGCTGGTCGCCTGCTCTTCCCTATGCTCTTTCCAGACCTTGCAGCTTTCCCTACCGTCGCAGACTTTGCCACTCACCTGCGTGCCCTAGAGACCCGCTATCGCACTGCCAGCACTGCTGCCCAGCTCACTGCGCTCCCCCCCCCTTTCTGCATGACGCTCTATTTTATCGCCATGCGCCTGCCAGACTGCCTCGCTAGTGCTCGCGATCACTTCCTTAGCCTGCACGCGGCTGACCTCACTCTCACTGCCTTTGTCGACACCCTCACCGAGATCGAGACTCGCCAGCGCACTATCGCTCAGTCGAGCGGTGCGCCGGCAGTCTCTATCTTTCACGGCTGTGCCCCCTCCCAGTGCACGTTCACTGACGTTTCGGCTGCGGTCGCCACGGCAACCCCCCTCACTAAGACGGCTGCTGCGGTCCACCCGTAGCAGCGCTCGCGCCGCGGTGGCTGTGGTCGCCAGGGTGGTAGGGGTGGTGGCGCAGGTAGTGGTGTTGGTGGTCGTGAGAGTAGTCCGTCTGGGGGGACTAGCATTGGTGGTCAGGAGCAGCAGCACTAGCCGTAGCAGGAGCAGCCCGCGCCGCAGCCGCCGTCCCAGCAGCAGCCGCCGTCCCAGCCGCAGCCCCCGCAGCAGTGGGCTCGCCTCCCCCCTGGTTGGCCCGGCACCTCAGGAGGTGGTGGCAGTGGTGGCGGCCCGCGCAGCTTGGCGTCTACCAGCGGCTCCGGTGCTGTGACCTGTCAGTACCAGCTTCAGACCGGGCCCCTTCGCGGCACTCTGTGCCGCCGCCCGCACCCGACTGCCCGCTGTTTCCGCCGCCTGGACGATCTGTTTCGTCGTCACTTTGGCCCGGCCCCGGACCTCCCTGACTGGCACAGCCTGCTCCATCAAGGCGTGCCGATCTTTGAGTTAGACATGGATGAGATAGGTGCTGCTTTGCATGCCTTGTATTCTGACGTTGTTAGTGTTGCTGGATCTTATTACCCTGTGTTCTCTAGTTTAGGTGTTGCACCGTTGTGTAGCCTAGCCTCCCCTGCTGCGTCAGGCGTAGGACTGCCTAGTTTGTCTAGCCTCGTCTCTTCACCGGCTCCGTTCTTTGCCCCCGCCACTGCGGTGCTGTCCTTCACTCTCGACTCCGGTGCTTGTGCCTACTTCTTCCGCGACCGTTCCGCGCTCACGCCGCTTGCTACGCCAGCTGTCGTCTCTCTCGCTGACCCCTCTGCGGGTCCTGTCGTCGCTCGCAGTTCTACGTCCCTTCCCTGTCCAGCAGTTCCCTCGGGCTCCCTTACAGGTCTCCACGTTCCCTTATTCTCGAGGAACCTGGTTGGTGTCGGCTGTCTCTAGGACCTCGGCGTCACCACCACGTTCCCTGGGCACGAGCGGTTCGCTGTCTGTTCTGAGGCTGTCTCAGGTTCCCCCCTTGCGACGTTCCCCCGAGACCCGGTGTCCGGTCTGTTTACCCTAGACACCGCTTCCCCTCCGGTTGGTGCGTCCTCCCAGGTTGCTGCAGCTTGCTTGTGTCGTTCCCTCACTCACCCGTCCCTTCTCTGGCACCACCGCTTAGGTCACAATGCTCTCCCTCGTCTGCGTCACATGTCCCAGCACGGCCTTGTCTTAGGTCTCCCTGTGTCGCTCCCCGCCCTTCCTCCCTGCGAATTTACGTAATTCACTGGGGGTGCTGGTGTGGAGGAGGGTGTTCGTCCTGCGGCTTCTGGGGGTGCCGCTGGTGTTGGAGGGGGTTCTCGCTCTGGGGGTGTTGGTTCTGGGGGTGCTGCTGTTGAGTGTGCTGCCGACGGTCGTTCTGCCTCTGCTGGTCCGAGAGTTCCGGCCCAGCCATCGTCGCCACCGGTCTCCGCTCTCCGCCTGCTTGGCCTTCCCTCCCCGGACCGAGCGACGGTGTCTCCCCCACCGCCTGCTGACCTTCCTGTCTACGGTCCTGTGTTCCCGCCGCCAGACTCGTCTTCGGCCCGTCTTCCTCCTCGTTCCCCTCCTAGGTCTCCTCCGCTGTCCCCTGACCCTACACCTCCGTCTCACGTTTGGGCTCGCCGTCCCTCCCGTGCTCGTCCCGTCTCTCCTGTCCTTCCCACCCACCCTATGTTGCTCCGTTCCCGCTCGTCTCGTCCTCCCCTCCTCCCGTCCCCTCCTCCCTCGTCCCTTGCTGTTGCACCTCCTCCGTTCTCTGACTACCTCCGTGCTGCTCGTCCCCTTGTCCCTCGGGTCCTTGCCTCTCTTGTTACCGACCCTTCTGTTCCTGTCTCGCGCCTTGACGCGCTTGTCGCTGCTGTCGCTGACTTCGCCTCTACCCGCCGCCTTGACTACGCTACCGCTCTGGTCTCTGACCCTGCCCGTCCTCCGTCCGTCGGGGGTGCTCCTGCCCTTGGTAGTGACGTCCTAGAGGACAGGCAGTACGAGCTTCCTTTCCTTTCCGAGGCTGCTCCCCATCTCTGCTCTATGCTCCTAGTCCCTGAGGGTGACCCAGATGCCTTCGACATCCCGACCCCTCGCACCTACGCTGAGGCCACCTCGGGACTTTGGGCCTCTCAGTGGATAGCTGCCATGGAGCAGGAGATGGCATCTTGGAGGTCCACCGGCACTTACGTCGACGCAGTTCCCCAGCCTGGGGTGAACGTAGTCGATGGTCGGTGGCTCTTCAAGGTGAAGCGCCCCCCTGGAGAGCCGCCTGTATTCAAGGCGCGCTACGTGGCCAGAGGTTTCAGTCAGCGCAAGGGGGTTGACTTCTTCCAGACCTTCGCCCCGACCCCGAAGATGACCACTCTTCGGGCGCTGCTACACGTAGCAGCACAGTGTGACTACGAGCTTCACTCCATCGACTTCTCTACTGCCTTTCTTCAGGGCAGCCTATACGAGCAGGTCTACCTGCGCCGACCACAGGGCTTCACTGGCACCTTCCCTCCTGGGACCCAGTGGCTTCTCAGGCGCCCGGTCTACGGCCTGCGTCAGGCTCCCCGCGAGCGGCACGACAAGCTACATGCCACGTTAGCAGACTTGCAGTTTTTTCCGTCCTCTGCTGACCCTTCACTGTTTGTGCGTTCCGGCCAGACTCCGTTCTACATCCTTGTCTACGTAGACAACCTGGTCTTCGCTACTCCTGACAGGGACGCACTGGCCTCTGTGAAGACTGAGCTGCTGAAAAGACACACCTGCATTGACCTTGGAGAGCTGCGTCGCTATCTTGGCCTGCAGATCTCTAGGGACAGAGCAGCACACACCATCACTCTGACCCAGTCACACTTGGTGCGCCAGGTCCTTCAGAGGTTCGGTCTTCAGTTCTCCTCCGCACAGCCCACACCTCTACCTGTAGACCACGGGCTTGCCGCTCCTGTTCCTGAGGAGCCAGTAGAGCCCAGCGGCCCCTACGCAGAGCTGGTGGGTTGCCTTATGTACCTGATGACCTGCACTCGTTCAGATCTCGCATACCCTCTCAGCACCCTGGCTCGCTTTGTGGCCACTGGCAGACACCGACCACAACACTGGTCGGCCGCTAAGAGGGTTTTGCGATATCTAGCAAGTACATCAGGCATGGGGTTAGTGTTAGGAGGACGCAGGCCAGTGGTCCTCACTGGGCATACAAACGCTTCTTGGGCAGATGACTCTGAGACGCTCAGGTCGTCGCAGGGCTACTGTTTTAGCCTTGGTTCGGGTGCTATCTCTTGGAGATCCACTCGCTCGTCGTCTGTTGCTCAGTCTAGCTGTGAGGCTGAGATCTACGCTGGTGCCATGGCGGCACAGGAGCTCCGCTGGCTGACCTTCTTGCTCACTGACTTAGGTGAGCGGCCTAGCTCTGCCCCGGTCCTGTACGCTGACAACAGGGCCATGATACTCCTGTGTCAGGAGCCTCGACTTGAGGGCAGAGCGAAGCACATCCAGCTGCGGTACTTCCTCCTGCGCGAGCTACAGCAGCGCCGCCAGGCCCGCGTAGTTCACTTGGCCTCTGGTGCCAACACATCTGATATCTTTACGAAGGCGCTTGCGCCTAAAGATCAGCGGCACTGTGTACAGCTCGGTCTAGTTCCTGTAGCCTCTCACTTGCTAGGACCTTGACTTTGTGCTGTCCTATATATATCAATATATGTACTCAGACTGGACTTGTGTCCTCTCCCAGTGGCTGGACTAGTAGTGCCGCCCTGGTCTTGTTCTTGTCTTGCCTGTACTCCTTTTGACTGGTCTTTAGACCCTTGTCTCAGTGGCTGGACTAGTAGTGCCGTCTTGAGCTGCTTGTTCAGGATTTGCCCCTATGCAGTCTAGGGGGTGTGTCAAATATATGTTTAACCCATATTTGTATAGACTGTATAGGGTCACCTCTTAGAGGGTACAACACTCTTAGGTATATACCCTTGTTCTCTCTCTCTATTCAACACTTGTTTAGTTTTCTTCTCGATAGTTTTTTGTTATCTAGGAAGAGGCATGCAATGTAAGGAGAAAACGTTGATATCACTGAGCTGATTGCAGTAGCAGGCTAACTTGTAGGGGTGAATTCTGCCACCTAGGACGAGGGGTAACGCAAAATTTTACTGGTAGGTTAGAATATTAGAAGATTTATTAAGAGAGTGGCTGCTCATTTAAATGCTAGTTGTCCAAGTTTTTATTACGAAATAACGGGTGTCCATAAAACGTGCCCGCCAGGGATTTTTCTTGAGCCCGTTCTGACACCCTTCCCGCATTTGCATTTGCTCTTTACTTTTGCCATGGCGTTTGGCGAGGAAATGGGTAGTCCCTTGCGCGTTTCACGAGAGTCGGAGGAACAAGCACAGCCAGCTGAGTGCAACCGGGAGTCGTGCCGCCCTGATAAAATGGAAGAGCGAGGTTTTGAGGACGCGGACATAGAGGCTTGGGAAAAGGATTACGAGGGTGTTGACGAGGAGGATACTCCGTTTAGTTCAACTTGCTCCTTCTTAGAACCAGGACAGGTGCGACGTCAATCCTCCAACTTGCGCTCCCTAAACCAACCTGCAACTAAGTCGTGTAGCACCCGTTTTCTCGAAGCGGACTCTCCAACCTCTCCGACTTCCAGCAATCCAGCCCAGGGACCCGCCGTCGAGATTACCATTCCACCCTTACCTCGAAATATTCAAATCACGCGAGCTGTATCACTGGTGCTCGTAGTAAAGTATCACCTTTGCGCCAACCTTGTCGCACCGCAGTAGACTGTCTGCTCCTTTCTCCCCCTCACTGTTCGCCGTCACGCATCCCTCGCCCCCGTTCCTCTGCGGATCCAGACGTTCGTGGAGACGCAGAACGTGTCGTCCTCCTGTTTGTTCGGGCGACTCGTCTCCACCCCTATCAGGCCACTTTGAGTCGACTCAAAAGTCACCCTCCCCACTCCCTCCCCCCCTCCCCGTCTCCTCCTCCCCCCACGGTTCCTCCGCGCATGCAGGCGTTCGTGGGGACGCAAAACGTGTCGTCCTCGTGTTCGTCGGGCGACTCATCGCCGCCGCTGTCAGGCATGGAGCGGGACGAGGCGTGGCGGGTAACGGTGCGCATCCAGCAGTGCGACATGCAGAGAGGGTACCTGTGTGGGTCCATGGAGGCTCTTAACGTACCTTCCACTGACACCTCGGTGAGATAAACGTGAGACGACACGGCGGTGCCAGCATGTTGGTCACAACCAATGTGGTTCAGAAATTTACTAGCCAAAGGAGCAAGGGGGGGAGTAAGGAGGAAGAGGGGGGAGGGGGACTGGGTGGCTTTGAGACCAGACGACTATGTTAAGTTTGAATTCAGTGTGCTGAGATGTACCTATTGGAACATTTGTCGTCCCCTGTTTTGTCTTCTCCTCCAATTCCATCATCGCGTTCTAAACCTGTCCATGCTGCCGGTACCCTTGCCCACCCCCAACCCATGAACCCTCGCCCGGATGCAGGTGGTGACATTTTGGGACGGAGAGATTGTGGACAGCAAGAACTACTCCTTCTTCACCGGCCAGTGGGACGCCACGTGAGTGCTGTCAATTGCCGCAGTCCGTTGCTGCTGAGTTGCTGTTGAGTTGGTTCAGGAGATTGTAGACAGTAAGGACTATTCCTTCTTCACTGGCCAGTGGAATGCCACGTGAGTGCTGCCAACTGCTGTTGTTTATTGATTTGATCAATATCTATGTTTGATTGCTGTTATCAACTGCTTGAAAAGCTGTTGATTTACTGTCGAGCTACTGCTGAGGTGCTGTTGAGTCGGCTCAAGAGATTGTGGACAGCAATAACTGCTCCTTCTTCACAACACTCCAACTGCTACTGATCTCCAACTAAAGCTCCAATGCACACGTCCCTCGCATCTCTCTCTCACGTGTCTCCAACCTCCCCGTTCTCTTCTCCCTACACTCCTGTCCTACCTCCCATGCTCCTGTTTTCGACGTATAGCAACTGACCTCAGGTCAAGAAACCCTTCCACTCAACCGTGATTGTTGTGGCTGTAGGCAGCGATGTGATTCACTCCTCTCGTTTTCCCGGTTTCCTCTGCCAGTCGTGAAACTGACATCAAGCACTGGTCTCGCTTCCCTTGCTTCACACAACTCAAGGTGTGTATTTTTCCAACGCGTTTTGTACGGAAGGGGGAGTCTGGCGGCGTAGGGTAGGTAAGACTTTATTGGTCTCATTATCTCTATTCGAATTGCATGCCTTTTGCCTGATCCATCTCGATCAACACTGATGGCAAAACAGCGCCTGAATGCCATTTATTTGCAAGTCGGCCATCCATTTTCCACCTAAATTGCTGTTTCTCATTTCAAGCAGCTGTCGTGGTTGTTTCATGGCAGGAAGCAGCACTGAAGGATGGAGCACGGTCTGTAGATCTGTCAACATTCCCCTACATTTTCATGGTAAGTGTGAAACATTCTAAATTCCTTCTCAGCGGTGTTTAATTTGCACACAACTTTCCGTGTCTCCTCTGCCTTGAGTCAACCCTAGTTCTGCCTTCCTCTTCGTTCTCGTTGATGGTCCCCCTTTCCCTTCCCTTGTTCTCCCCTCCCTGTAACCAACGGTGAAAGAAGAAGTTCTTTGTGACCGTGCCTCCTTCTGCTTCCCTCAACTCCCTCTCTTCCCCCCACCCACCCTCCCCCACCCCCTTCCCGCCCCGCTCTTCTTTCCCCCCTCCGCCCTCCTCTCCTTCCTGCGTCCCAGCGGTGGAAGGAGAAGCTCTTTGTGATTTTGGGTCCATCTTCTTCCCCCGTTCCCGGCCCGCTTCATCTTTCCTTACCATTACCATCTAGACATGGGCAGCATGCCGAGCCTGGCTCGACTCGGCTCGACTCGACTCGCCTTTTTGGCGAGTCGAGCCGGGATTTTTTTTTGGCCGGCTCGACCCGAGTCGAGCCGGGTCGAGCCGGTCGAGCCGCGCGGCTCGGCTCGACTCGTCGCAAATTTCATGGCGAGCCAAAGTCGAGCCGGCTCGACTTTGGCTCGAATTTGGCTCGACTCCTGAAGCGCACGGCTTGCCAGCGGGGGGTCAAAATTCGACCGCCCTGGAAGACGAAAATCCTTTTGGCGAGTCGAGCCGAGCCGAGCCAAGGTCGAGCCGACCCTTGGCTCGACCCTGAACCCCCGAGTCGAGCCAACCATTTTGGGGCAGCCGGCTCGGGTCGAGTCGAGTCGGCTCGGCTCGACTTTTACCTGGCTCGAGGTCGAGTCGAGCCGAGTCGAGCCAGGCTCGGCATGCTGCCCATGTCTATTACCATCCCCACTCCCCTCCCCCTTCCCCCCACCCTCTTCCTCTCCCCTAGTGAACGTGGGTCCTTCTCCTTCCCTCAAATCCCCTCCTTTCCGCCATACTTCACCTATCCCTTCCCCCCCTCCTTTCCGCCATACTTCACCTATCCCTTACCCCCCTCCTTTCCGCCATACTTCACCTATCCCTTCCCCCCCTCCTTTCCGCCATACTTCACCTATCCCTTCCCCCCCTCCTTTCCGCCATACTTCACCTATCCCTCCCCCCCCTCCTTTTCGCCATACTTCACCTATCCCTTCCCCCCCTCCTTTCCGCCATACTTCACCTATCCCTTCCCCCCCTCCTTTCCCCTGGTGTCCCCAGCGGTGAAAGGAGAAGTTCTTCGTGGACGTGGGTCCTCCTGTTCCCTCCCCCTTCATCTTCCCACTTTCCCCTCCCCCACCTCCCCCCCTACCCCCTCCCCCCCTTTCCGCTTTCCCCTCCCTGTCCCCAGCGGTGGAAGGAAAAGTTCTTTGTGAACGTGGGGCCAGACTGTGGTCTCACAATAGCGGGCTTCTACTATGTGTGCTTCAATAGAGAGGACGGGACTGTCACAGGCTACTACTACGACCCCAGCAGCAGGTGACTGTAAGGGGGATGACTTAGGGCATTGAGTGTGATTATAACGTTGGGCCGGACTGTGGGCACACTACAGCGGGCTTCTACTATGTGTGCTTCAATAGAGAGGACGGGACTGTCACAGGCTACTACTACGACCCCAGCAGCAGGTGACCGTAAAAGGGGATGACTTAGTGTATTGAGTGTGATTATAACGTGGGGCCGGTCTGTGGGCACACTATAGCGGGCTTCTACTATGTGTGCTTCAATAGAGAGGACGGGACTGTCACAGGCTATTACTACGACCCCAGCAGCAGGTGACTGTAAGGGGGATGACTTCGTGTATTGAGTGTGGTTATAACGTGGGGCCGGTCTGTGGGCACACTATAGCGGGCTTCTACTATGTGTGCTTCAATCAGGACGATGGGAATGTCACGGGGTACTAGTACGCTTCCGCAGCAGGTGATTATAGGGGGATGACATTAGTGAATGCGATTACAGTGTGGGACTGGACTGTGATCTCACTATAGCGGGCTTCTACTGTGTGCTTCAATCAAGAGGACGGGACAGTCACAGGCTACTACTACGACCCCAGCAGCAGGTGAATACAAGGGGGACGACTGTAATGAGTATACTTGTAGCGTGGGGCTGGACTGTGGGCTCACCATGGCGGGCTTATTCTACTTTTGCTTCAATCGAGAGGACGGGTCTGCCACAGGCGACTACTACGACCATAGCGGCAGGTGAGAGGATGGGAGTGAGCTGATGAAGTCTTGTGAGGGAGGTTGCTTGTCATGAGCGTGTCTGGAGCAGGTTTCTCATTATACATTCTCCAATCAGGAGGATGAGTTGCTTACAAGAGAGTAGTATGACCCCAGCAGCAAGACAGAGGGTGGGGTTGAGCTGAGAGGAGTTGTGGGGTTGAGTTGGTTGATACCAGGGTTGCTCAGGGCTTTGCGTCACAGGAATAGCCCTGATAATGTCAGAAGGTGCTTGTGTTCGTCAATGATTGGCGCTAAATGAAGAGCGCATACGGTAAGAGCGTGTCTTTTCACATCTCAACGTGATGCAAGCTTGCTCATGTTGTGGACAAATCGACCAGGTAGGTGCTTGGATCGGCACATTCAATTTGTTCTCTCTTCCTCACTCCCGTTTACCTGCAGCCCTTTTCAAAAGCTGGCGCTGCAGCCACAACAGCTGAGCTCATCAGGATACACGTTCGGCACATTCGCACTTTGCTGATTATCACGAAACTTCAATCTGTTTCTGACAAACCCTGGTATCGACGATTCCACTGCACGGTAGCGCTCACGATGGATCCAACTTGGCTGTATCCCACTTTTTGAAGAATCCACCCTTACACTGAAAATGTATGTATAGTGTCTCAGAGTAGCAGAATGAACTACAATGAATGGTACACGGTAGTTTTGACCTAATGTGTTGTACTCTCCAAGGCATGCCCCTATGTAGTCTACAGCAACATATATAAATATGTTTGACACACCCCCTAGACTAGACAAGGGGCAGTGTCTGGCAAGGGACAAGCAACTTAGGGCGGCACTACTAGTCCAACCTCTGAGATAAGGGTCCGAAGACCTGTCAACAAGAGTACTAACTCGACAAGAGCAAACCAGGGCGACACTACTAGTCCGGCCATTGGAATAGCAGCCACAAGGCCAATCAAGAAGGTATATATAAAGAGTAGTACACAATCAAGGTCCTAGCAAGTGAGGAGCTACACGAACTAGACCAAGCTGCAAACAGTGCTGCACGAGAACCATGTCCGATGTACTTGCTAGATAACGCAAAACCCTCTTAGCGGCCGACCAGTGCTGTGGTCGGTGTCCCCCTGTGGCCACAAAGCGCGCCAGGATGCTGAGAGGGTACGCGAGATCGGGACGAGTGCAAGTAATCAGGTACATGAGGCAACCCACCAGCTCTACGTAAGGACCACTAGGCCCTACTGACTCCTCAAATACTGGAGCAGAGAGAATGTGGTCTACTGCCAGAGGTGTGGCCTGTGCAGAGGAGAACTGAAGACTGAACCTTTGAAGGACCTGGCGCACCAAGTGTGACTCTGTGAGAGTGATGGTGCGTGCTGCTTTGTCCTTGGAGTTCTGCAGGCCAAGGTAGCGGTGCAGCTCTCGTAGGTCAGTGTAGGTGTGTCTTCTCAGCAGCTCAGCCTTCACGGAGGCTAGTGCATCTCTGTCCGCAGTAGCGAAGACCAAGTCGTCTACGTAAACAAGGATGTGGAACGGAGTCTGGCCAGCACGAACGAAGAGCGAGGGGTTTGCAGAGGACGGGAAGAACTGCAGGTCAGCTAGCGTAGCACGCAACATAGCACGCAGCATGTCATGCCACTCACGGGGCGCCTATCGCAGGCCATAGACCGGGCGCCGGGGGAGCCACTAGGTCCCAGGAGGGAAGGTACCGGTGAAGCCATGTGGACGGCGCAGGTAGACCTGCTCGTGTCAACTGAAGAAACGCTGTGGAGAAGTCGAGGGAGTGTAGCTCGTAGTGACGATGTGCTGTTACGTGTAGCAGCGCCCAAAGAGTAGTCATCTTCTGGGTCGGGACGAAGGTCTGAAAGAAGTCCTCACCCTCGCGCTGACTGAAGCCTCTAGCCATGTAGCTCGCATTGAACACAGGCGTCTCTCTAGGGGGGCGCTTCACCTTGAAGAGCTACCAGCCATCGACTACGTTCACCCCAGGCGGGGGAAATGCATCGACGAAGGTGCCGGTGGATCTCCAAGATGCCATCTCCTGCTCTATGGCAGCTATCCACTGAGAGGCCCAGGGTCCCGAGGTCGCCTCAGCGTAAGTGCAAGGGGTCGGGATGTCAAGGGCGTCTGGGTCACCCTCAGTGACTAGCAACATGGAAGAGAGATGGGGAGCGGCCTCAGACAGGAAACCAAGCTCGTACTGCCTTTACTCTAGGACGTTATTGCCAAGGGCAGGAGCACCCCCGACGGATGGAGGGCAGGCAGGGCCAGAGACCAGAGGTGTGGCGTAGTCAAGGCGGAGGGTAGAGATGAAGTCAGCGACAGCGGCGACAAGAGCGTCAAGACTCGAGACAAGAATAGACGAGTCAGTAACAAGGGAGGCAAGGACGCGAGGAACAAGAGGACGAGCGGCACGAAGGTAGTCAGACAAGGAGGCGGAGCGACAACTAGTGACGGAGGAGGAGGCGAGGGGAGGAGGGGAGGACGAGATCCATGGGAACAAAGCAACTTGGGGTGAGAGCGCTGGACCGGAGAGACAGGACAAGCATGAGAGGGACGATGAGACCAGAAGTGGGATGGAGGCGTCTGGTCAGGAGACACAGGAGGAGTGACAGGACGAGAACGAGAGGGGAAACGAGCCGGGGACGAGTCCAACGGAGGAAACACAGAGCCGTAGACAGGCAGAGGAGGCGGCGACGGGGAAGGCGCGGGCGGGCGGTCTGGGGAGGGAAGGCCGAGCAGGCGAAGGGCGGACACAGGCGACGACTGCTGCTGCTGCTCCTTTACGCCGACACCAGAACCTCCAGCTGCACCATGGCTACCTCCGGGATGCTCCACTCCAGCACGCCCAGAACGAGAACCCTTTCTTGCACTGGTGCCACCCCCGAGACCGCCGAGACAAGCCACGATAGGAACCCCAGGACCTGCCCCCCCAGAACCAGCAACCCCAGGACCAGCGCCCTTCTGAACGCCCGCACCCCCAGAGCGCGTGGACGACTGCGGCCGCGGCCGCGGCGGCGGCGGCTGCTTCTGCGGCTGCGACGACGGCTATGTCTGCTACGGTGACGGCGGAGAAGGGGACACCGGGGGATTAACTGGCAACGAGAACTGCGACGTCGGGCCACCAGAGTCAGCCGACTCCTCGACCGGGACAGCCGACGGGAGGGGAGTGACCTGACACGGGGAGGGAGGGGAGAAGGGGCTACCGGGGGAGTGGGTACCAGAAACAGGGGCGGGGAAACCGGGAGACCTCAGTGGGGAAAGCGATGGGAGAAGGAGAGAGACTCGTTGAAAGTAACGTCCCGCGAGTGAAAGAAGCGGTGAGATGATGAGTGGTAAAAGTGTCAGTCTAATGAGTCAATAGGGAAACCAAGGAAGACGCAGGGGACAGTGCGGGCAGTGAGCTTGTCCGTGCCAGAGGCACGAACGTGTGTGAGGCAGCCCTAGACGTGGAATGCGGATGCGTCACCAGGGAACCCAGTCTAGAGAAGGGTCGGCAATACCTGCGGCCTCACGGAGTGCGGCCACAGGTTAAGCTGGTGAGCGGCGTAGCGAACGACGAACGGCCATAGAAAATGGGGTGCACCGGCATGGATTACGGAGGTATGCGCCACCTCCATGACCAAAATGATGCGTCACTCAGCAACCCCATTCTGCTGGGGGGAGTCCGGTAGGGTTTACGACTGGGTGATGCCCTCCGCCCGACAGAACTGTCCAAGCCGACTGGAGGCGAACTCGCCGCCACGGTCGAAGTGGAGACATAGCACAGGGAGACCGCGGTGGACGCACGCAGCTACGACCCACGGGATAAGAACGTCAGGCACGTCGGCCTTCCGATCCAGGGGAAACACCCTGGTGTAGTGCATATAGTCGTCGACGAGCACGAGAAAGTAGTGTTCTCGACGCGGCCCACGGACGGTGGCTGGGCCCCAGACGTCCAGGTGCAGGGTCTTCAGTGGCGCGGTGGCAGGGCAAAGCTAGGAGGAATAAGGAGCACGGTGTTGTCGGCCCTCGACGCAGGGCGTGCACGGCGGCCCAGGTGAGGGAGGGAGGGCAAGGAGCGATGCAGGAAGACCCGGGTCCCAGGGGAACGTCGCAAGGGGGGCACCTGAGGCGGCCTCTGTACAGATAGCGTACCGCTCGTGACCAGGGAACGTAGTGGTGACGCAGAGGTCCTTAAGATAGCCGACACCAACTAGGTTCCTAGAGAACGAATGGATGTGCAGGCCTGTAAGAGAACCCGAGGGAGCCGTTGGACAGGGAAGGGTAGTGTAGCTACGGGCAATGACAGGACAGGAGGAGGGGACAGCAAGTGCGACAGCGGCAGGCGCTGCAAGCGGCGTCAGCGTGGCGTGGTCGCGGAAATAACAGGGAGACGCGCCAAAGTGAAGCAGACAGGACAGCGAAGCAGAAGCTATGGCCGGTAGAGGAGCGAGCGTGGAGCCTAGACTAGTCAAGGCAGAAGGTCCTACACCTAACGCAGCAGGGGAGTCTGCACTACACACAGGTAACACACCTAAACTAGGCAACACATGGTAATTGGATCCAGGCACACTAGAAGCATCAGCATATATGGAATGCAGGGCAGAACAGATCTGATCCATATCTAATTCAAAGATAGGCACACCGTGGCGAAGCTGACTGGCCCAGTCAGGGAGGTCCGGCGCCGGACTGAAGCGGCGACAAAAGAGGTCGTCGAGGCGGCGGAAGCAGCGAGCGGTTGGGTGCGGTCGACGACACACAGTGCCGCGGAGGGGGCCGGTCTGGAGCTGGTACTAGCAGCCCCCAGCGCCGAAGCTTCCGGCCGATGCCGAGCTGCGAGCGCTGCCAACGCGGCTACCACCGCTAGAGGCACCGGGCCACCCCGGCGGGAGGCGGGCCCACGACTGCTGCTGCTTCTGCTACGACGGCTGCTGCTGCGGCGGCTTCTGCTGCTACTGCTCTTGGGCACCAGCCCCGGTCCCCTCGTCGGACCCACTGTCACTGCCGCCACCTCCACCACCTCCACCACCCCCACCACCCCCACCACCCCCACCACCCCCTTTGGGGCCCCGACGGCCCCGACGCTGGCGTGGCTGTGTAGAGGCCGCAGTTGCGGTCTCAGCGGCAAGGGCTGTTGCAGCGACAGTGGCAGAAACGTCAGTGTATGTACACTGGGAGCGTGCACAACCCTGAAAAATAGGGACTGCCGCAGTACCGATAGACTGAGCGATAGTGCGCCGGCGAGTCTCTATCTCACACAGGGCGGTGACAAAGGCGGTAAGGGTGAGATCACCTGGGTGCTGACTTGGAAGTGGTCGCAGGCAATGGCAATGCGGTCCGGAAGGCGCATGGCAATGAGGTACAGGGTAGCGCAGAACGGCGGGGGGAAGGGAGTGAGATGGGCCTCAGTGCTAGCGGCGCGGTAACTAGCCTCTAGTGCATGGAGGTGAGTGGCTAGATCAGCTACAGTGGGGAATGCGGCGACATCAGGGAACAACATGGGGAGGATCAGACGGCCAGCAGAGGTGGAGGCGGGCGTGGAGTAGCGTGCGACTACGACATCTAAGAAGTCCTTGGCGTTCGCGACAATAGTAAAGTGCGGACGCTCAGACAGGGGAAGAGCGTGGCTAATGGCACGCTGCGTTACGGCATCGCACGAATCCCAAACAGCTCGAGCAAGCACAGCAGCAGAAAAGGCCTCACGCTGAGCAGTGGTGGGGTCAGCAGGGAGGGGATCAGGCACGGGGGGAGCGGGGAAGCAAG